CCACAGTCCTCGCGGCGTAAGCTGAGCTTTGCATTTGTGTGAGTGATCGCCAAAAGTACAGTTAGTAAAAAATCAATGTTTTATTAAAAGTTAATGCTGATATTTTGATTATCCTAAATTATAGTAATAACAGTAATAAACTACATAACAATATTATAACTCTTCTTCTCCGCTCATTGCATCTTCATCTTCACTCTCGTCTGATGACTCATCAGAGCCTGTGTTAATAATGAATCGCTCCGATAAACCGACGATAGCAGCGTCTCGACCATGAAATGCTTTTTCTTCTTTAACTGCACGGTCACAACATTTTTCCACTCTTGTACAGTGATCGCGTCAACTTTTTCCTTTGTTAATCTCATTATAGTGTCCATATTCATTGACACGTTTTTTTAGCTACGTATCCTTTTACCATTGCCCATATATTTTCAATAGGATTGAAATAAGGGTGGTAGGGTGGTAGACGTAGAACGCTGTGACCATGTTCTTGGAGCAAATTATCAATTTTATATTCAACAAATCTTGCTTTGTTTTGTAGTATCAACTGATAAAGTTGTGGTTTAAGCATCGATCCAGAGTGATCGATATTTCGATATTTGAGCCAATCAATCATAGCTTGTGTACGATGGTTTGAATTGGGCGCGGGATTTTGATACGAATTGTGGTATGATGCACTGTCAACCACCACAACACTATTCGGTTTTAAATTTGGAATTAGCAGCGTTTGCAACTATTTTGTGTAATTCTCCGTGTTCATATTATAATGATAATCACCACTTTTTTGGTTTGCCTTGAACATGAGTAGGGCATTGGGTATGAAACCATCCTCTCCGCCGGCATTAACTATTATTAACCGATTTCCCTTAGAAATTGGTTTCTTTAAACCAGAGGTGCTTCCATCTGAATAAGATTTCGACGAAGTGTGAGAAGTGTCTATATATGTTTCGTCAGTATAAACGATTTGGCGGCCCTGAGCGCAATATTCGGCAATTTTAATGAGAAACATTATTCGAAGATATCGTATTTCATGTTTCTCCATAAGGATTCTGCGATTATTTTCTGTCCTTTTCCACTTGAATCCTAATAAAGATACTTCTTTTCTTAATGACGTAATTGCACCTGGATAATTTATTTCTGCCTTTAACTTTTCGTGTAATATTTTCATAGTGGGAACCTGTTTGTCGGTGATGTGGAAGTTATGAAGTATTCTCCGAATTACCGCTTTATTAAAATCATCGATCACAATGATATTTTTCCTGCATCTTGTTTTTTTCGGAGATTTAAATTTGCTTTCATCTTCCAAAGCACATTTACTTTCTAATAAAACCTTTTTTACAGTAGATAGCAGAATTCCCGTCGATGTCGCTACCAATTGGGCCGACGTAACGACACTTGACATATCCTTGTCGTTTAAATCTTTAAAATACGTATTCAATTTGTATAAAATTTCTTTTGTTTGGTTGCTTAATGGACGTTTAGTCAATTTACTTACAGTAGGAGCCATTTCACAAAAAATTCGAACACAACCACAAAAAATTACACGTCTATCTGCTAGCGGTACCAGAGGTGAAGTGGGGAATGTGCGCGGCAGGGAAGCCACGCGTGGAGGATGCGCCGCGCCTCAGGCCGCGTTTTAAAAACCAGTATAAACTGGTTTAAACCATGCGCGGGACGCGCTGCGCCTCAAGCCGTATCCCACTGTACACTATCTGTGTGCACTCACACAAATGCAAAGCTCAGCTTACGCCGCGAGGACTGTACTTACTTACTAATGACTTAATTATTAAATAGCGATGGTAGGATAACTTGGATTTATCAAACGCTATTTACACAAAAAATTGAAAAGGTGATATAGATATCTCACCTTTTCCAAGAAAGTATTCAATTTTTTATTAAATTAACTGTCATCGGGGTGCAACAACGAACTAAAATATGCACAAGCTCTTGCTACAACACTGGCGTTATAATACGAGTAGCAGTCGTCTATTATTATTAGTTATTAATGCCTTTCTAGCTGCAAACATCCTCCTAACGAAAAACAAACGTCCTGCCTAAATTATATATAGTTCTCACAAAACGAAATAAACTTAGCTCTTCAACAATTATTATCACTCTTCTATCTCACTGTAAAAATTGAGGTAAAAACTTTTTCGATATCGACGGCGTAAAGTTTTACGTCTCGAACGATTGAAATTGCCGCTCCAACCAATCACGTGCGTTAACGTTCTCACTGTCGAATGCGAGCATTGAGCTCGATGGTGATTTCGATTATTGCCACTAGTTGGCGCTGATTTTATTCCATACAAATTGTAGTTAACTTTCTTGAGATCAAATATGTAAAAACCAAAACTCGCACTAGGCACAATGAGCGATCTCGACTGAAATCGTACTGGCGGTTCTTAATCAGCTGGTGATCCTCAAGGTACCTCATGAGCTGGCAGTTAATAACCATTATTTTGAAGAACAAGGAAGGGATAGCGATAGACTTGTAGAGAGAGAGAAAGAGAGAGAGATAGAGGTGTACCTGTCTGCGCGCGCGGGCACGGACTTCTTGCGCTTGACGGCGGCGGTGCGGCGCGCGGGCGGCGGCGCGGGCGCGGCGGCGGGCGGCGAGGGCTCGCGTGGCGCCGCCGTCGTGCTGAAGCTGCGCCCGCGCGCCCCAGCCAGCTGAACGCACACACACCTTACTCACACGCACACCAACGCACCGTACACGAACACCGTACACGTATTATTATTATTATTAGAACACAACACATACGCATCCGAATCAACTATATTTTTTCTTTCTTTGATAATGGATTCGTACGGTTATATTTTTGCCAGTATCAAGTATTATTATAAACACTTCTTCACAATATGTTGATGTGTCACATTGGAAAGTTTTTGGGAGATTTTTACGGTAACTTGAACCAGCAGACAGTCAATGACGTTGTATCTCAAGGCATCTAAGCAGACATAGTAACTTAAGGTTCACATCACCGTTGGGGTACTGTTTTATCGTTTCCACTAATAGTTAACACGCGCTGACATTTAATACCCAAAATCGCACCACTTTACATTTTAAAGTCCACTAAAACCATTATTTAAATTATGATACAGAAACATCAATCCGCCGGCGGTCAAGTTCCCGCCAAAACTCCCCTCCAATGGTAATCTATTCAATTTACTTCCCCGGTGTTCCCGTGGAATGTGGCCCCGGGTTCGTATGGGTCAAGTCAGTAATCAATTATTACGTTTTTCTATAGAAAAATTCTCAATAGCAACCCCGAGTAAGGTTGTGAGCTCATTTTCACACCCGTGACTCGGAAAGCACATAAAGCCTTTGGTCCTGCGCCCGATCTCTCTCCGGTCGTGTCTGATTGCAGTCCCATTGGACTATGAGAGTATAATAGAAAGTTTACCCGCGCTTGCGCACACACTCTTGCACTATAATCCTGTCCTGCGCAAATGGTCTCGGTTGAGACTAGTCGCCGAGACCAAAATTCAATGAGGGCTCATAATTTTCTGCTCACTAGATGTCGTTAGCTGACATTGAGGTGAAATTTTTGGTTACGCAATATCATTTAATTGAGTTAGTTTTTAATAAAAATTTATCAGTTTCTAAAGTATCATATCAATACACAAAACAATGTTTGAGGTTTTCCCTTTAATATTTTGTATATTGTTCACGCCCTTAGTTGCCCCGACAAAAATCGACTGTATTAGGGCCCATGAGTAACACTTTCGACGGGCAACAGAGGGCGGGGCCCAATGGCCTATGGGTAATTATTCTAAAACGGCTGATAAGCAAACAAAACTTTTTATATAGTATAGGGTGACAAACGAGCACACAGTCCATCGGATAGTAAGAGGCTGCTGTGGCCCATAGACATCTACATTTATCCTCGTTTGCGAATCAAAATGCAGATGCGTTGCCACCCGTGAGGACTAAGATGGAATGCCTCGTTTCCAGTAAAAAGGGTCTCCGGTTCTCTACACTTACCATACGAAACACAGCAGTGGTAAGCTGCTATTTGACGCTGGTATTCTGTGAGAGCGTGGTCCTTCCCCGGTTGAGCCGACCCATTTGTGCTACAACTATACTATTAATATAGCTGCAGCATGGCTATACCACGTACAACTTACCGAGTTCCGGAGGTAGGGTTGACCACAGGGGTACCAGTTAGGTGGTAAGTGAGATGTATGTAAGTAGTGTGTAGTAGTGTGTAAATGTAACCTGACTTAACCGGACAGCAGATCCACAGGCGCGGCTTTTCTCCAAATGTGCGATGCCTCCAGGGGGCGTTCACCAATTGAAACCTTCTGCTTTTATTTTCACTATATTAGTTTATCAACTTTATTGTACATTTAATTAACTTCAAAGTCAACCAAATGAACGTTCATCGAAATTAAAACAAGTGACACGCTGCAAAACTTCAGAACAGTCTGTCAAAGTTCAATGTCCCAGGTTCACTTAGCACAAAATTATAAAGACAAGAACGAACGCGGTCTCTTCTCGAGTCACAAAGTTCAGCGTACTCCCGACAAAGCAAAATTCCTTCGTACGATATTAAAGCCACACAAACAAAAACTCTTTGGCGCAAATTAATGGCAATCAGTTAATTTAATCACTCAAAATTCAAATTAGGCCTCATGTCACGTAACGCTCAAAACAGACAACTCATATCGAAGCGGTCTTAACCGAACCCATATATTCGATAGTAAATTAGACGCGCACAATTTAGACCGTCAAAATCTACACCGGCCGCGCGCAACCAACCCAGCGGTCGCAGACAATACTACTCGACAAGGCCGCGGCGTTCAAGTCACTGTTGCCACGCGGACCGGCCCACGCGGGCGAATGCCGGGAAGCGGCACACGCCACCCCCCCCCCCCGGCGGCGTTTACGTCACCTCAATACCATTGGATGACGCGCCGAGGCAAGCGTTATTGGATGTAAATTTCAAATGCCCATATTTGGCCTAAACATATATTTTTAACTCTTTTTTTATTTTTCTGCATGTATGAAGATCTGTGGTTCGGTTTATTTATTTAAAATCCAACTAATATAAAATATAACTAATAGTACAGAAAGAAACTTTAACCTTTACATTTTTCAAACAAATTAACTTCCCCGCTATGAAATCTGTCAAATATTACAGCTTATTTTTAAGTGGCGCCGCCCTGGTGGCAGAAAATGTCGTGGATCATTTAGAGGCTATTATTATTCACTTTACGACTTATTTAACCCTTATGAAGATGGTCAACAGTTAATAGTTCAATAATCTTCATTTTCATTAACCCTCAAGTCTGCTCGGACATTAGCCTTTCCCGTAATAGACAGGATTTACTTCAAACGTCACGCTTTGAAGCAAAACTTTTAATCGTATCGCACAAACATCATATCTCGTAAGCCATACATTTCTTGGCATTTCCCTTGGATTTGGATTATAGCCAAGCAGTGGCTTATAAATAAGTATATTTGACAGTGGTAGAGCCACGCGGCAGCTTTTGCTGTCGCACGGATGGGCCGGCTCGAACCGGGGTGGTACCACGACCTCACAGAATACCAGCGTGAAGTAGAGGTTTACCTCTGCGTTTCGCTTGGTGAGTGCAGGTGGCCGGAGGCCCTTTTGACTGGAAATGAGGCATTCCATCTTAGTCCTCACGGGTGGCAACGCATCTACATTTTGATTCGCAAACGAGGATAGATGTAGATGTCTATGGGCCGCAGCAACCACTTACCATCAGGTGGACTGTGTGCTCGTCACCCTTATCCTATAAAAAAAATTAAAAAAACTAAACTAAAAATTATAATGAATCGTTCGCATCAAATTAATAAATTATCTGGAATATAAATAATAGTAATCTAGATAACATATTTATGAAATGCGTATAGGCCTCCCCGAAAGGATTTCCAATGAGCACTGAGGCAATTGAATCAATGCCGAAATGTATCTTTTAATTTACTTGTTCATTGTTCTTCTTACTGACCCACTCTCCTATTCCTACTCCTTCAATTCGAACGAGTACACACCTGCATGCTGCCCAGTATAACAGACAGGTCCTCAGCGTTAGGTTGTGGTTGCACGATCTGTCCGTATTTCGCTTGAACATTCACCGAGTTTCGCGGCGAATCGACGTCATTCGGATCTGTGGAAAAATAGGAAAACAGTTTACATAGTTATTACATATATAAGTGTACTCATAAAGAGCCGTAAAGACCGTAAACAAAGAGTTAATTCCATAGATTTAGTAACTAACTAACGTTAGAATATATTGGCAATGCAAGAGATAGAGCATAATTTACGCGTATGTTAGAGCGAGAAAGATAGACTAGACCATTCACGTACACGCTATTGGGCTATAAAGGTTTGACGACATTCGTGAACAAAACAAATCCACACATTATTATACATTTAACTCGTAGGTGCGATTGAAATGCTTATGGTACGGCCAACTAGCAGCGAAACGAAAAGTCATTTACCTTAAAAACGACTGTGGAGTTGACAATGTATTATCTATCTCTTTCCATCTTGTGTATTTGTCGTAATATCTCGTTTTCCCGGCAAAAACATATCAGGGTCAAGACGGGTTCGCCAACATTCAGAACGCGCTCGTGGTGATACAAGTTATTTGTTAAAATTGTTGTTATTTTTTGTTATTTATTTCATTAGGATAGAAATATAAAATAGAAAATTAGAAAATTCATGTTCAGGGTTCAGTACTTGATATTCTACGTGCTAGGATCACGCTGCACTTATATTATAGCTGCAGCACGAATAAGTCGGCTCAACTGAGAAAGGAACACGCTCTCTCAGAATACCAGTGTCAAATAGCAGCATAACGATACTATGTTTCTTATGGCTGGCGTGAAGCACTGCAGACTCTTTAAACTGGAAACGAGGCATTCCATTTTAGTCCGTAGGAGTATTTGCATTTATGTATTTAGATGTGATTGAGCCACAGCATTCATTTAGCATCAAGTGTGGACTGTGCGCTTGTTTTAATTCTACATAAAAACTATTTGAACCAATATTCTATTGAATAACACATGCTCAGTGAAAACCTTATGAGAAAATCTTTATGTTTCATTCGTTTTTTAATTTAAGTACTGTTAAATATAAAAATGAATGAATACGTCATCGATCAAAACATTACCTATAGCTCTCAAGAAGCGCACTAGATCCCTAGCCAGGTCCCATCTCTCCTGTTGCAGCGCCGTGTCCAGTAACTGTGTTGCGAGTTGCCTGCTGACTGTCGAACTCTCCAGGTTCTGAGTGTAAAAATTATACAATTTAAGTCAATTATCAATGTACATACTCGTTTATAATTTATAACTATTTGAATATATGAATTAGCACGAATAGGTCGGGGGAGGGCCGCTCTCACACGAAATACCAGCATAAAGCCCATTTTACTGGTATCATTTTACTAGGGTGGCTGTAAGGTGGGTGAAAAAGCTATATTAGTTAATGTCTATTACAATAACAAAATTAATATAATCTAGTTTTTTAAAATCGATACCTCCTAAGTACACTGAGTCATCTAACAAATTTAGGTTTTTCATTATTTTTATATAAACTTACATAATAAACCATGATCTTAATGTTAGTGCTAAAAAAAATTAAAAAAGAACGATAATTACGGAGATAATTTCACGTATACTAAATCAATTTCAACATCTGTTAAAATCGTACATTGTATACTGATCCAAATAACATTGTACCAATGTACGCGGTGCGTGAGGGGGGACGCATTGATATAAGTTTATTGTGGCTCAGTATTCGATGAGCGGCGGCGAGTGCACACGCAATTTTAGTTAATATTTTTGTTTCGTAAAATTAGTGAATAAAGTAAATGTGGATGTATTTGTCTTATATTGTTTTATATTTTTAATTAATATAAGAAACATAATGCAGTCAAACAGGGCGCGAAAAATTTTAAATTTACTCAATGACAATGTGAATAATACCAATGATACAATAAACAATAACACAAGAATCGATGATAATATAATGCAAAACAGGGATAGAGATGGTAAGTTATCTTATTATCTTATCTTCACGCACAATCCCTGACGGGGTAGCCAGAGAGAACAGATCGCCAAGTGTCACGATCCTTACATATCTCTTTCGCTTCTTTCAGATTCATTATCTTCTTCATACATGCACGTCTTGGTATCCGAGTACTCTTGACCCTACCCTCTTCGAGCAAGTTGCTCACATGGTCTTCGAAAGTTAGTCTCGGTCTACCTCGACACCTTTTAATATTAACTTTCGCGCTATATATTTTCTTCACCATTCGGTCTTCACTCATTCGCTCAACGTGCCCAAACCACCGAAGCACGCCCTTATCAATTTTTGTGATAAGGTCATCTTTCAAACCTGCCATATTGCGAATCTCTTCGTTTCGCTTTCGGTCGGCCATAGTAACGCCTTATCTTTATGTGTATAAGTGTGATTTTGTTGCTTTTCTTTGATAATTGTTGTTCACGTCTCTTAGTACGCCGTATACTCATACAACTGCTGTTACACCAGTATACGGCGAACAAATTTTATAAAGAAGACACTTGACTCATATGTTTATAATAATATACTTATTCAATTTTTGATATTTTTGTGTTAATTGTGTTATAATATATTTTTTTATCTGTTATATGTTTTATTAATTGTAATTGGCATGTTTAATACAAAAATATGAATTCTTGTATTTTAATTTTAATTATTATTGTTTTAGAGTCTCCACTGCCACCTGATGCAAATTTTACGGAGGAGGAGCTATCAATACTTGATGATGTTGATTTAAATGATAGCAAGGATGTATTGCAAAATATCCCTTCTAACGCTTCCATATTATTCCCGGATGATATTCCTTGCTCCTCGCCTTGTGTACCGAATAGTGATAGTAGAACTCAAATAGGAGATCGATCGCCGTCAGTCATAGAAAACACTCCAGGGAATTCGCCCATCCAGAATAGCATTATTGAAAATTATTGTAATATTACTCCAGTACCATCGCCTTATAATTCTTTTGCCCCATCACCTGTTAATTTAGAGTTAAATGATAGTCCTGCGGTCGCCTCCCCTGCATCTGATATTAATGATATCACATACTCACCGTCCAATAACGCCAAACGTCGTAAGCGGACTTCCATTGCTAAGAAAGATAAAGAATGGCTAAGAGAACGTTTTCATAAAAAATGGAAGGATCAGGAGAGAAAATATAATGTTAATAGAGGTTTGGAATATGTCAGTAGAAACGGAAGAGTACATAGTAAGAGAACTATGAAAACTTCTTGCCCCGTAACTTGTCGGAAAAAATGCAGTGAGAAATTAGCAGAAGATATTCGGCAAAGAATTTTTGATATGTTTTGGAGTATTGGAGACCACTCAAGACAATGGGATTTTTTGGCAAGATATGCTGTAAGATCTGACAAAAAAAGATTTACTGTGGATAAAGAAAATTCAAAACGTCTTCACACTATTTCTTATTACCTTCCAAGCAGTCAAGGAGATAATATTGAGTCTACAAAAATATCGGTTTGCAAAACTATGTTCCTAAGAACCCTTTATATTAGTTTTAATTTTGTTTACACAGCTTTAGAAAAGTCCGATAAAGGAAATGGATTTGTTGAAGCAGATCAGCGTGGAAGGCAAATTAATCATCCAAAGATTATTAATGAAGATATGGTTCGCAGTGTTATAGACCACGTCGAAGCATTTTCTCCTGTACAATTACATTACACTCGCCAAAAATCGAGTAGAAAATATCTTGGGAGCTCTTTATCCTTCCCAAAAATGTTTAAGTTATATAATGAATGGTTTGATTCTAATAAATACTCTTCTAAAGCGACTACCGTGAGACAATACCGAGATATCATTAATAAAAATATCAATATATGTTTTCATAAACCCAAAAAAGATGTTTGTGAACAATGCCACATTTACGAAAATAACAAGCAAGTTACACAGACAGATAAAGAGAAGCAGAATGCTCTTCAGCATTTGAAAGAAAAAGAGAAAGCAAGAAAAATTAAAACAAAAGATAAAGAATTAGCATTACAAAATAATGAAATTCTTACAGCAGCATTTGATCTTCAAAAGTGCCTTAATGTACCCCACGGGAACGTAAGTACTTTTTATTATAAACGGAAACTTTCCTTGTATAATTTCACGATATTCAATCTGAGATCTCACCAAGGTTATTGTTTTTCATGGCACCAACAGACAGCAAAGAGAGGTGCAAATGAAATTTCCAGCTGTGTTTTTAAGTTTATAGAGGATACGGTGGGTGAAGGAGTCAAAGATTACCGGTTCTGGTCAGACAACTGTGGAGGCCAAAATAGAAACAGAATTGTGTTCCTAATGTATATGTTAGCTAGTTCGAAGTTTAGTGTAGATATCAGGCATCGGTTTCTAATAGTGGGTCACACGCAAAATGAAGGCGATAGTATGCACGCTTTAATTGAAAGACAGACGAAAGATAAAATACTTTATACGCCTGATCAATGGTATACAGCTTTTAGATTTGCTAAATCCGATGAAAAGCCATACAAAGTTATCGAAGTGTCTCAGGATTTAATAAAAGACTTCAAATCAAAGCTAAAACTTATAAACAACTGGACAACTACTAATGATGGATCTAAAATGCCTTGGAATAAAGTAACGGAAGTAGTAGTTAAAGCAGAAAATCCATTTAGATTGTTTTATAAAACGAGTTACCAAGACGATGCTTACAAGTGGATAGATTGTGTAAAGAAACTTAAAGCTACACGAAATCGAAGAGAATTGAATATTGATATAGATAATATTTCTTTAGCTTATCAGACACCCATTCCTATAGACCAAAATAAGCACAAAGATTTGATGGATCTTTGTAAAACGTTGGTAATTCCTAAAGAGTATCATTTATTTTTTAATAATTTGATTTCAACTAATTCTAATGCAGCTGATGACAGCGATTCAGACTGATTTTTTAACCTTTAATATTTTTATTTCTTTTGTTAAACTTTATAGCTATTTTTGAGTATTACAATTGCCTAGACTTTATTAGATATTTATGTTATACATTTCTATTCTCTTTATTAATATTGTTTAACGTAAGTTACCATTTTTAGTTGTTAATATCTATACTGACCTACTAGCGAAGTATACCTGTTTTAGTTTTTATTTTTATTGATTGTTTGTTGTTTTTTATGAAACTTTAATGATGCAACTTTGATAATTTGTTATTGTTGATTTATTCAACTTGTAGCTTTTACTAAGGCCAAAAAACATGTTCCTACTTAATTATAGTGAAAAATACATTGTGATTTTTTTAAAATGCGCTGTTTTTGTTTATGATTCTTCTTCTTCTTCCTAGCCTTTATTAATCCCACATTTCGTAAAGTATTAGAAACAAAATGAGTAATTATAAAGCCTCGTTGAAGTATATTAGTCCAGTATACGTCGAAGTTTCAAATGTTAACATAGCTTAGTACTTTCCTAGTATAATGAGTCAAGTGATGTAATTTCAACGTTTTATTATTAAATGAGACAGAATATCCCGAAAAAAAATCAAAAGTAAGTTCGTATTAATAAAATGACAATCATATTTATGATATTTTAGTGTAAACAATGGATTTTGATGTACAACGTACATGAATATAACTGGTAGTTAAACCATTTTACTATTGAGACCCGCTGGCGTATACACAGCTATGTACATAAAATGTCATTTAAAAACAAAAATCAGCAAAATCATTTTATACCAAAGGAAGAGCTTGCAATCTTTATTAAAAAAACATTTAATATATTTCGAATTAGTTTGATTTCATTAAAATATAAACGATTTGCCTTCAAATCGCTCTCCTATAAAATTACTATAATGTTAGTTGACTCATTATACTTAGGAGGTATCGAAATAATCTAGTTTTCATTTATAAATTTTTATTATTGGTCCGTGGTGTCCACGCGTGGTTAAGTTTATAAAGAAACTGCATCTTCGATGTGAAAGTTGTTTCTTTTCTCGCCCGATGGCTAAATATATTCAAAGTGGGAACTAGGCAAGCGTTCTTGACGCTATAACACGGTGAATTTTATTATTATAAATATATAAAATAATATATAATATGTTTATTAATTAATATAATATTACATACTTTTTTTAACTTTTCTTAAATTTATGAAGGTTTTTTTTTATTTTCAGAAGCGTTATGTATGTTCCAACATTACCATATGAATTGGAATTTGAAAAGTCTCAAAAATCGACGTCAACCCGGAATCGGGTGAGACTTCAAGACATAATAGTCATCAGAAAAATATTTAAAAAAATCTTTGCTATGTATTTTAAAAATTACAGGCATTTATAAAAAATCGAGAAAATCTACATCCTGTGACGGTACTTTAACTCCTGTTGCCGCAAATTTGAACTTTTTTTTAATATTCTTTTTATTATGTAATCTTGAATAATGCGTCTGAAAACTGTTGCTTAAAATTTACAGTCCTGGAACTGCTCCAGTCTAGAAGGAATTGTATTTATTTTCCCAGCCAAGTAGTCAAAATTAATACTTTGCCGAGTTTTAAATGACTGTACTGAAAAAATTTACTACACGAGTAACTTTAAAAGTGGCTCATTTAATAAGGATTCCAAAATGGAATGAAAACTTGCAAGATTATTTGTTAAATTAAAGAAAACATTTTTTTTAAAGAAATCCAGGTGTAAATTACTTTTACTTGCCTGTCTAAAATGATTTTTGTGAACACCAAGGCCTTCCTCAAGCCTGTTACTTAAGATTGTAGTTTGAGTGAAACGGAGGGAAGTTGACGTTGCAGTGTGAGCGAGACAGAAATCCCAAGAGGTACCCAAATGCTGTATAAGTATAAAATGTAAGCAGAAACTTAAGCGTATTTTAGTTTAAAATTTCTACAATAAAATGAGTTATGTAAATACCTTTGTAAGCTGGAAATAAATACAGTTATTCGTGCAGCAATAATATTAACAATATTTATTTATTAACAAGTTTTACATAAAAATTAAGAATGGTTACAGTTTAGTCACCTGCAATATAATGAGGTACGAGGCGGCGGTGTCCAGCATCTTCTTCTGGAGGCATTCTTGGAACAGCTCCTTAGGCTTGCCCGCCGCGGAGAATAAATATGCCCAAAGAGCAATTTCTGTTTTTCTCGCACATTGCACAACCGTCTGCAATTAAAATTCACTTTATATCAATAGTCAAAACCCATAAATACGCACTTACTTTATTTTAACCAACGACGGTTAATAGAATAGAATAGAATAGAATAGAATAGAATAGAATGATTTTTATTCAATATGGATTATTACATAATACTTATTGAAAGTCATTATTTTATTTACCACTGGTTCGGAAAATACCTCCTGTCCTGGGAAGAACCAGCAAGAAACCCAGCGGGACTTTTTTTTTTAAACATAATTTCACTTAACAATAATTTTGATTATACAATTTTAAATGAATTTTCATAGAACCAGCATGGTGGCGATCACCTTATTCCCAGGGGTTATTTTCACTCATGTATTCCTTGATATTATAATAACCCTTTTTGTACAGTTTTTCTTTAATAAAACTTTTAAACTTGTTTATTGACAAACTTTGAACATGTTCTGGGATTCTGTTGTAAAAGCGTATACATTGCCCCATAAATGAATTACTAATTCTGTGGAGTCTTGTAATACTTAAGTCATAACCGTCGTTGATTAAAATAAAATATATTCCTCCATCTTCCCTGCATAATATAAAACAAAATCCCTTTCCACCGTCTGTACGCTTAGATCTTTTAAACTACGCAACGGATTTTCATCAATAAACAGAATGAATCAAGAAGGTTTTTTTATATGTATAACACATGCATGTTATATATTATTCTTCTGTCCGTGAGTATGCAACTGAACTCCTCCTAAACGGCTGAACCGATTTTGATGAAATTTTGTGTGTTGATTAGATAATGGTTTAGATTCACAATTGAACCCGGTAAGTTACGTTGTTGTCGAGACCCAGAAATCAGCCGTGCGAAGCCGGGACGGATCTAGTAAATTATATTAATTGTTTTCTATTAGATTGTTTAACAAGTTTAACACACATAAATTCAATATCCAGATCCATAACAATTATTTATCGGCCAAACAAACACTTGTTTTGTGCAGGATTCAAACCTGCAGCAAAATGCGTGTCTAAGCATTTTTTTTTTTCACTGGAAAATAGTTCCATATTAACTCTCACGGCTGACAACGCATCTGCATTTTGATTCGCAAAGAGGATAGATGTAGATGTCTATGGGCCACAACAACCACTTACCATCAGGTGGACTGTGTGCTCGTTTGTCACCCTATCCTATTAAAAAAATATTCCTCGTTTGCCATAAAACATAGAACACTACTATTACAAATAAATCATTACATTGGTGTAAGTACGTTCTGTGTCTCCTATGGCTGTTGGGTCTCGGCACTTTCTAGTGTCTAGTTTCCGACAAATTCGAAAAAAATCTGTGAATACAAGCAGGTTACTTATAATTATTTATGGAATTTATATTTTTTAATTAAATCTGTTTTTTTAAATATACTAACCCTATTAAAATTACTAATACTCCAGTAAAGCGCTCCAAGTAAACTTAAGGTGCTTGTGCTAGGAGAGGTTCGCTAATGTAGTAGAATAAATTTTTTATTTCTTTTAACATGCATTATCCGTTCCGCTCATAATAAATAACAAAATTATTTGTTGAACACAAACCTATAGTCTTACTTTTTTCATACACTAATAATAAATTGATAACACTGAAATAAATCACACAGATGTGACATTTAGTAATAACAGTGTTACTGACCTGTAAATAGACGGGGAACTCATGAACAAACTCTATAACACTGGGCAGCTGCGCGTCTGGGATCGGTTCCTTGCTGGTTGCTTCTTCTTCTAACACCTCGTGGAGAAGAAGTTCCAATGAGTGGGGGAAGTACGGCAGCTGTGCACAGGAGCGCGCGATCTCCCACGCGTGGTAGCCCAGATTGCGTCGCAACAACTGACGAAGGATTTGGTGAAGGTACACCTGGCTCTGGAAACATTAATAAGTTATTCATCTAGTATGACGTAAACACTAAAAACTAAGCGGCAGCAGCCAAATGATATAAGCGAACGGACAACGAAACTACATTATTAGATGCAGGTTAGCGGAAATATTAAAAATATTAACAGCAATGTTAGTATCTTTTGAAGAAAAGTTGGCTGCCATTTTAAATTATACAACGCAAGATTATCTACAAAATCATCGACAAAACCAAATCAACATAGTTTGGAAGATCCAAAAGTGCACGCCTCATGAGCCTTTCATTTAAGTTTGATGAAAAAAATAAATTGTATTCCTGGCTTAAAATATATTATTGATATGTTTTAAATTTAGTGCTCTATTATTTTAACAGGTAGTGTTACCTATAGGGGAAAAATTAATAACGTTTACCTAAATAAATCATTTACACAGTATAAAATCCATATAGGTTGTATGGTACATTTGTCCTTTATCTATCAAGTGCTAAAAAATATGATAGCGCTTTTAAACTTTTAATAGCAATAAAACTTATACAAGTTGTAATTCATTATATTAACAAATTAAGCGTACTAGGCTATTGATATGAAATAGGGGACCAGTTGATGTAATAATAGATAATAAAAGAATAAAATAATTAATAATAATTTGATTTAATACTCACCGTTCTATTTACAACACAGAAGGGCAACGAAAACACGGAGTTAGAGTCAGACGCATAAAGAGTTGTGTCATTTTCCGCACCCAAGAGTATCGCATCGTCAAACAGTATGGCTAAACATAAAATATGAAAATATTAAAATGTCACGTATATCAATATTATGAATATTTGATATCGAAATATAATAAATGAGTTTAATTAAAAAGTAATTTATAATTAAACTCCTTTAAACTCAACAAAAAAATTACATCTATTTGCACACCACACAAAGTCCTTAAACAATAAATACAAACATACATCGAAAAAATAAATCATTCCTTGAAAATTTTTCGTATAAAAATGTTTTTTTCATATTTTTCATTTCATTCATTATTCACCGCTTTGTAATAAGTGTAAGCTAAATTAGTTATATACTTTGGGTTGAAGCAAACTTCGGCGGAATTTCAGAGCTGAGTAAAAAGAAGTTGGAAATGGCCGCCTATATACGAATTAACTAGCGATCGCAACAGAGTTTATAAAATTTATAAAATATGTCGTATACAGGTTGTTTGTGAAACGCTCCTGAAAACGAAGGCAGTCGATAGTACCAACGATACCTTTGATGATGGGTCAGAAAGAAAATCAATCCCGAGGAAAAAATCATCTTCTCACGTTTTATTAGCTTTATTCACGCTGCATCATGTCAGTACAGCTAAATGAAACGATAATTTCATAAAAAAAAAAACCATAAAAATAATTAAAAATAAAACCAGCATTGGAACTTAAAACAAAATCAGCTTACAATAGGGACAATATTCGCGCGGAATTCAGGCCGAATTCGCGCGGATCGTACCAATACCTAATAATTTAAAACACTTGTTTATATACTTAACTTACCTACTTAACCTACAATTTTGACACTGTGCTTGTCTCCACTAACCACTTTAATTGGAATTCACAAACCAAATACCTGGTTCGATTTCCCACTAATGAAAATTTTACTTAAATGAAATGTTAACAAGGATAGAGTAATGTATTTTATCCATCGTTTATGTATGTTTATTATTCTGATGTATTCAGTTATATGCCTATTTAGATCAGTTTAGTACTAAGTTATTAAAAAAAATAGGTATGAAACACCCTCACAGAATACCAGCGTGAAGTAGAGGTTTACCTCTGCGTTGCGCTTGGTGAGTGCAGGTGGCCGGAGGCCCAATTCCCCCCCCCCCCCACCCCCTACTCGCGACTAATGCTGCTCGGGGTGGCGGAGCAATACAACCAAGGCGACCCCTGTCACGCTATCCGTGAATTTTTGCAACATCAGGGGACTTCATTCCAACCTTAACGCTGTCCATTACCATCTAGAGACGGTGAAGCCGGCCTTGCTCTTTTTAACCGAGACTCAGGTGTCCTCTCCTGCTGATACTTCATATCTCTCCTACCAGGGATACAAATTGGAACACTCCTTTGTGCCCCGGGCTGGAGTTTGTGTATACGTCAGAGAGGACATCTGTTTTCGCCGCCTCGGCCGCCTTGAAGTTACGGACCTGTCCATCCTATGGCTGCGCGTAGACAGCGACGATCATCCCCACGTCTACGGGTGCCTCTATAGGTCCCATAGCGGTAATGCCGACACAGACCGACTCATCGACCACGTCCAAATGGCTGCAGACTCCGTGCTATAAGAGGTCCCATCCGCAGAGATCGTGATACTCGGTGATTTCAACGCCCACCACGCTGAATGGCTTGGTTCTCGTTTAACCGATCATGCGGGTAGATCTGTGTACGACTTTGCTTTGGCATATGGTCTAACACAACTGGTTACTTCGCCTACGCGGATCCCAGATGTGGAAGACCATGTACCTTCCCTGTTGGACCTTCTGCTGACCTGATATCAGGTCTCCGTCGATGCCCCTCCGGGCTCTTCAGACCATTGTCTGATCCGGAGCACGGTGACACTCACGCTCCAATCGCAATTGCGATCTGCAGCTTGCCGCCGTGTTTGGCACTATAGGTCAGCTGATTGGGACGGAATGCGGTCTTTTTTTGCATCCTACCCTTGGGGGCGGGTTTGCTTCTCGCCGGAAGATCCCAGCGTTGTTGCCGATTCTGTTGCTGATATGGTACTTCAGGGTATGGAACTTTTTATTCCATCCTCTGTGGTGCCCATCGGAGGCAGATCCCAGCCATGGTTTGGTCGCTCCTGTAAAATAGCATCACGCTATAAGCAGGAATGCTACCGGGCCTGGGCTGACGCATCAACATCTCGGGATTTAAACACCAGCGCACTTAAAAAGAAGTATAATTCCGCCTCCAGGTCTTTCAAAAGCGTCATTGCCAAGGCAAGGTCTGAGCACATCGGCAGAATTGGCGAGAAGCTAGTTCGCCTTCCTTCGGGTACCCGTGCATTCTGGTCTCTCGCCAAGGCTGTCCAAGGGAACTTCTGTCAGCCATCCCTTCCATCTCTGCACAGAGAGGACGCCACTGGCCCATGCCGCAAAAGAGAAAGCCGATCTGTTGTGCTCTCTTTTTGCGTCTAACTCGACTCTAGATGACGGGGGGAACACACCGCCGACCATCCCGCGATGTGAGTGCTCCATGCCGGATGTGCGATTTACACAGCGCTCGGTTCGCAAAGCACTCTTCTCCCTGGACGTTAGCAAGTCGAGTGGGCCCGATGGAGTCCCTCCCATTGTACTGAAGACGTGTGCTCCGGAGTTGGCACCGGTTTTAACGCGTCTTTTCCGGTACTCCTACTACCAAGGCGTAGTCCCGAATTCATGGAAGATAGCTTTGGTCCATCCGATCCCTAAAAAATGCGACCGCTAAGACCCGTCCAACTACAGGCCTATCGCCATCACCTCCTTGTTCTCCAAAATAATGGAATCCATTATAAACTGCCAGCTCATGAGGTACCTTGAGGATCACCAGCTGATCAGTGACCGTCAGTACGGTTTTCGTCGGGGTCGATCAGCAGGTGATCTTCTAGTTTACTTAACTCATAGATGGGCGGAGGCAGTAGAGTCCAAGGGGGAGGCATTGGCCGTTAGCTTGGACATAGCGAAGGCCTTCGATCGGGTCTGGCACAAGGCGCTTCTTTCGAAGCTTCCTTCCTATGGGCTTCCCGAGAAATTGTGCAAATGGATCACCAGTTTCCTTGCTGATCGGAGGATCAAGGTCGTAGTAGACGGTGCATGCTCTGATTTCAAGCCTATCAACGCTGGTGTTCCACAAGGCTGTGTGCTATCACCAACGCTGTTTCTCCTGCATATCAATGATATGTTGCTAACTGGTAGCATTCATTGCCATGCAGACGACAGCACCGGGGATGCCTTATATACCGGCCGTGCCAATATTTCTCGGGAAAACGTCGCCGAGTACCGGGACAAACTTGTGTCTGAAGTCGAGTATTTGCTTAACAAAGTCTCGGATTGGGGCTGACTAAATCTAGTCCAGTTCAATCCCCAGAAGACACAAGGGGATGAGTCGCTCGCGTCCGTAGGCTTCGACCACCTAATCCTAGGCCCACCCTACACGTGTCCCCCAGGTGGTGCTAAGCGAGCGACAAAGCCGAAAGAACTGACTCGGCTCCTGGCCGTGTGGTAGCGGCGTAAAAAATACCACAACTTACTTTCGCACCATGAGGCAAAATATTAACGAAATGGCCCCGAGTTCCCGGCGCCCCTTTAATGGGGCAGGGGTGCGAAGAATCTCCGGGAGGAAAACTGGCGACGAGGTTCGCCACCCGTCACGTTCTGTCCCCCGGAGGGGCGAAAAGTGGATTGCGGAAGCCCGTCTGGCTACATTGAATGTATGTGGAGGAATGAATGATAAGATGGATGAAGTATGCGATATGATGTATGATAGAGGAATAGACGTGTTATGTGTGAATGAGACGAAACGGAAGGGAAAGGATGCCACTACACATGGCATGTATACCGCGTACTGGTCTGGTGTAGACGAGACCGAGCGGGCATGCCAGGGAGTCGGTATCATCCTTTCAGAAAGAATGGGTCATTGTGTAAAAGAGTATGAATGTGTAAGCCCGAGACTGCTATGGATACGAATGAAAGTGGGCTTAAAGAAGTTGTTTGTTTTAGGGGTCTACGCCCCAGACATGTCTAAGCCCACTTATATCCGAGAGCAGTTTTGGGAGTTGGTAAGGATGGTGCTAATGAAATGCAAGGTTAATGAAAATATTGTGATATTAGGCGATTTTAATGGAAGGGTTGGGGTGAGGAGGCTTGGTTATGAAAGGATATTGGGAACGTTTGGTGATGAAAGTATAAATGAGAATGGTGAAAGCCTTCTCGCCGTATGCGTAGAAAAGAATCTTGTTGTGACGAACACTTTCTTTCGTCATAAGAAGATTCACACGTATACATGGGAAAGAGGTGATGATAGAAGTATGATAGATTTCATAATTGTTGATGAAAGAATGAGGAGCGCGGTGGTAGATATAAGGGTTTACCGGGGCTCTAACGTGGGGACGGATCATTACTTGGTCTTATGCCGAATTAATGGTCATTTCAGACGTTGGAGGCATCGGACATCTGTGTCTATCACAGCGTTACAGCGTATAAGAACAGAGAGGTTACAAGATGAAGGTGTGAAAGAGAAGTACAAATGTATATTGAGAGAAAATATAAGTGGTATGGCTGAATTGTGCATGAATGATTTAGACTTGGAGATTGTGTGGTATAATGTCAAGAAAGGTTTAGTGGATGCAGCTACCGAAGTATGTGGTGTAAGTAAGAGAAAGAATGAAAGGAAAAATAACACGTTATGGTGGGATGATGAGGTACGGATGGAAGTTGAAGCAAAGAAGAAAGCATGGCTAGATTTACTAGCAACCAAGGCTAGTAATTCTAGCAGTATGAATGATGATATTGAAAGGAAAAAGGAAGTTTTTAGACAACTAAATAAGAGAGTAAAAGAAGTAGTTGAAAGGAAAAAGCAAGAAAGAACGGATAAGAATGATAGAAGAATATCGGATAACTTCCAGGCAAACATTAAAATGTTCTGGAAACTCGTAAGAACTACCAGGGGACATTCACAACAGCCTAGAATGAATGCTATACGAGACCAGAATGGCTGTATTCTGAATGACGAAGTTTTGAGTTTAAGGAGATGG